CACCCGGAGGGGGGTTGGTGTCACCCAAAGGGACCCCATTGTCACCCGGGGGGGCCCAGTTGTCACCCAGAGGGGGGTTGTCACCCGGAGAGACCCCCTTGTCACCCGGAGGGCCACCACCCCCTGGAAGACCGTTGTCACCCGGGGGGACCCCGTTGCCACCACCCCCTGGAGGGCCACCCTTGTCACCCGGAGGACTCTTGTCACCCGGAGAGCCGCCGGTGTCACTCCAAGGGCCACCACCCCACCCAAGGACATTGTTGTCACCCGGAGGGCCACCGGTGTCACTCGGAGGGCCACCATCCCGTGGAAGGACGTTGTCACCTGGAGGGCCACCACCCTCTAGAGGACTCTTGTCACCTGGAGAACCGTTGTCACCCCGAGGGCCACCACCTTCTGGAGGTCCGTTGTCACCCAGAGAGCCATTGTCACCTGGAGGACCACCACCTTCTGGAGGCCCCTTGTCACTTGGAGGGCCACCACCTTCTGGAGGACTGTTGTCACCCGGAGAACCATTGTCACCCGAAGAGCCATTGTCACCTGGAAGGCCACCACGCTCTGGAGACCCCTTGTCACCCGGAGACCCGTTGTCACCCGGAGAGCCATTGTCACTTGGAGGGCCACCATCACGTCGAAGGCCATCGTCACCCGGAGGGCCACCACCCCCCAGAAGATCCTCGTCACCTGGAAGGCCACCATCCATGGTGGAACCGAAGCCACCCAAGATGCCACCTTCACCCCCCGCCTCCTTGTCACCCGTGGGGCCACCTTCACCCCTGGTGGAGGAGGAAGAGGAGGAGGAGGAGGAGGAGGAGGTGTCCTTGTCCCCACCGGGTGGCCCCGACCTGGCCTTGGAGGAGCTGGACGTCACCGAGTTGGCCTTGGCCGCCGGGCTCTTGGGGACGTCGGGGGGGACGAGGAGGGGGGGGGACAGCAGCGAGGAGGAGGAGGAGGAAGATGAAGAAGATGATGGTGGTGATGGTGGCCACCACCCTGCTCCTCGAGGCGGCCCCTACTACCGCTACCCCCGCACGGTGGTGACACGGGGACAACCTTGTCCCCTCCCCCTGCCGCCCCACATCCACCAGTTGGACGGGGTGGACGACGGGGGGGACAAGGGGCCACCACCCCCACCCTTGGGGCCACCACCACCATCTTTGGGGCCACCACCACCACCTTTGGGGCCACCACCATCTTTAGGGCCACCAGCACCATCTTTGGGGCCACCACCCCCACCCTTGGGGCCACCACCACCATCTTTGGGGCCACCACCACCACCTTTGGGGCCACCACCATCTTTAGGGCCACCAGCACCATCTTTGGGGCCACCACCCCCACCCTTGGGGCCACCACCACCATCTTTGGGGCCACCACCACCACCTTTGGGGCCACCAGCACCACCTTTGGGGCCACCACC